TTCAAAATCTTCCCACTCTGAAGGCTTAATAAAAAAAAGATTGTTTACAGAGCCCCGAAACGCCGGCTTCGTATGGATGAGAGGCTGGTTTGGTGAAAAATTTGTGCGTTTAGGCCAGGGTTTGACTTCGTGTGGACTGGGCCTAACATTACCAATATAAACCTAATCCGATCCTAAACCCCATTCACTCTTTAAACATAACCGACAACCCAAGAGGGGTTAAGTTTTCCTCATTGGGACCAGCAGGCTGGTTCCCAAGTGTCTGTAAGTCCCAGCAGTATGGTATATTCCTGGGAAATTAACCTTACACTTTCTGCAGCCGATGGTGCATCATGCATTTATTCCTCTTCTTTGTGTCTGCAGTGTGAGAACAAGGAGACATTCATCCAGCAGATCCAGTCTCTGGACATTGAGACTCAGGCAGCCATTGCCATCTGTATTCAGCAGGTAAGTGAAGAACCTGTCTGAATTAAATCAGCTGCCCCCCCCCTACAATATGAAAGTGGGATATTCTGTCCTGGGAAGAGTTTCTAAAGAACACATTTGTCCCTAAATAATATATCGCACAGTATTTCTGTGATGTCTGCCTGTAGGCGAAAATAGAAGAGTTATTATTCCTCTTTCTGATGCTGAAAGTAAGTGTGAAAATGAGCTACTTGTCATTCTGCTGGCTGTCTTGTAAAGACCTCTGGGTGCCCCCTGGTGATGGATCTTCCACCCGTCATGTCCACCTCTCCACCTCCACCTCTGTCACATCACTGCTTCATCTTTCCTTGCTTTTTGTCATTCTCTGTCGTCTATTAAAGCATAAATGCCACTTGGCTCTCCTTTGAAAATATTCCTCCTATAAATAATTGCCGGCTTCAGAAAAACAGCATGCTGGCTACCAGCATGGCTGAATTTCAGAAACAGCGTGTAGCCCACCAGCCTTTTTATTGCCAAACTTTTCAGCCTAATAAATGACAGAGGTGAAAAGTCCTCCTCCTGTGTAGATTGATGCATCCCCTGCTTCCTGCTCATATGGCCTCCACCCGTGAACCTCTCAAAGCCATCAACATGATCATTAGTTTTGCATGCGCGAGTCGAGCCAGGCAGAATGTAAAACGTAGTCATTTCTAATCTACCCAGATGCTTGGTATTCATAGCACACTTGCTTTGCCTGGAGAGTTTGTCCCCTGATCTGTCAATTGTATCAGACTTGGAAGGATTTGTATCCCAGAAACCTGAAGAAGTGTCCTTGCTGCAGGTGACCCAGGATCCTAGAGTGGTGTTGCCTCTTCAATGGGAGGAGCTGGTGGAGGCAGAAGGCGCAGACCTGCAGCGGGCCTTCAGCTCCATGGCCAAGCAAATCCAAAGCCTGCTGGCACAGAGAGACACACACCTGGAGGTACGTCTGCTCATGAATCAATGAATAATTACCTTCTTCCTGGATCAAACCTGAATAAAAAGATCTCAGCTGACATACACGCTATTTTACGATAATCATTATTTCCTATATATGATTAGATCTTCAGATAATAAAAATATATTGATAAAAATTATATGAAAAAAGCCAAGTTCAGATTGCTGGTGAAGACTCTCATTCATCCAGGTCATAGTCATTCCAAAAAAAGAAAATTAAAAATAATCCACTGGACTTTGTTTCCAGATTTGAAGACGTTTCGCTTCCCATCCAGGAAGCTTTATCAATTCAAAATGTCAGGAATAGCTTTGAGTTCAAGGTTTTATACTGTAGCCCATCAACTTGTTTTGAAAACATGTAAATTGAAACCGTTTTGTTGTTTTTGTTCACTCTGAGTTGGTTTGTTTTAACCCAGATGAAATCTAGTTGTCTTCAATAAATGTAGTGTGATCTTATCAGTAATCAGGTGTTTACAGACCAAGCCTTATTAAAGGAGGAAACCTTAAACAGCATGTCGCTTTCAGCTTTCCGGAGACGATTCTTTTAGAAAAGCACCTAGAGATGTGGTAGGTCTTTAACTGTAACCCCAACCTGTAGCCATCGCTCTCCAAAGCTCTATTAGTACAAAAATCTGAAAACTTTAACTTGAAAGGATGTGAAACTTGAGGCCCAAAACAAAATGAGAGTTTGTAGAAGCTCTAGGTCTTTTGGAGGCATCAACAGTATCCATTAGATCAGGAAGATCAACCTCCTGGGGAGCGGAGCACACACACACCACAGAGGTTATCACTGCTATAGTGACACCTTGCCTTTGGCATCGCTGAACCACAGTTTTGATCCTGGCTTCAAAGGATAGAAACAGAAACAGCATAAGGGAAACAAAGGATACCAGTTGTATATGTGAGTTCCTTTTAGGACAGACAGAAGCAAGGACATGTACTGAGAAAAACTGGAAACCTTAAGAGACTGTTAACACACTAAGATTTACAAAGATTTACAAAAAATACAAAAAAAAATTATGTTAATGATCCAATTACATATTTGCTGTTTTTTTTCTGGTAAAATACAGTTTCAGAGCTCCCACTGAGCCTCTGAATGCATCTTTGCAGATTTTTTTGTCACTAAACAATTGATTTCAGTCTCACCCCTTCTCCGGTGCACTGAGTCATTATTTAACAATAGTCTGTGTAATCCCTACTAAAAGGTACAATTATTGGACCTATATAAATGTATATAGTAAATAGGTGAGAGTCAGGGTATTTATTTATAGGCTTTGGGCACCGTAGGGGGTCCGAGAATATCCTTCCCCGGAAAATATTGAAATTTAGATTGTCTGAAATGCTATTTCCTGCATTTTGAGGTGGGATGCTGCTAACCTTTTGTCTTTGTTACAGCACTACTTTTGTCCTGATTATCTCAAGTATGTGTGCTTGACTAGACTTAAACTTTTATTGTCATTTTGCATACACAGATTGTATACAAAATGAAATTTTGTTTAGTACAGCTTTTCAGACACTAGAGGTGAAAATTTCTTAAGGAATACATTAAATCATTTTTTGGTACAATATTATGTTTCATAGGTTAATTCAAACAATCAGAAAGTGTAACGCTATGTTCTCACCGCAATTTGAGTACAAGCTTAATTTCTGATGCTTGTACACATTAAGATCGAAGCGCTTCCTGGAAAATGTGTCCAGATGCATCTAATTGTCCTGCTGCTCCTGTGTCCAATGGAAAGAGAGCGGCTTTGCTATATTTGCTGTGGTCAGTGGTTAAAAAGTGTTCATATATTTTTATGCAAGAAAGTCCACCTAAAACATCATCTGTGCAATCAGTTCATCAAGATTACGATCCTGCCTTAAAGTATTATTCGCTGTCCAGTGCACTATCACTGGGAATCCCCAGCAGCAGCTGTCTAAGGCCCGTTAGCCTCTTGGAGATTTTCCTTATGTGGCGGGTGGAACTAGAGCTTAGCGTTTTTCATGTACGTGTATCAAACTGCAGGCACCAGAATAATTAAAGCAAACGTATTTTGTTGGCAGGTTTCAACATTTTAAGTAAATTTAGGCATTAATAAACGGTTTTAGAGGAGTGATCATAGCGATCTGCATCACAAGTGCTATGTCTCACCCCCCTGCCAGCTCCCAGATCAGCTTCTCTCATTGATAGATGTGGTGCGTCGAGCAGCAAAAGTTAAAATTTTCCAACTGCAGCATCTGCTGCTTGTGAAATTTTGAACATTTGTGCAAAGTTTCCAGGGGAAAAACAGGGTGTACAATTTCTGAAACCTGAAAACAACTCAAGTCTTTTAGGCTTTTCAACACCTTTACCTCTTTTAACAACATATTTAGTTTAACCCTTAAGTTCCTATTGAAATGTTCAGGACATACAAAGGAATAGTGCTTGGACTTACTTTTTTTTTCTACATGTCCCAGTAATTGGGACAGACTTTTCTGTCCCCTATTTTGAAACAAAACAAAAAAGGATTGAATCCACCCCCCCTAACTCCATGTGACGCTAAAGACGTGTGTAAACTATCTCTTCCCAACAGCTCACAGCTTTTTGGTGTTTTCATAAACTTTGCTGCCTACCAAAAATATTTGGTACATAGATTATTATTTTTCTTTTATGTATAGAAAGAAGTCCTGTTTTATATATCATAAAGCTGACATACAATGTGATTAAAAAATTATAATAAATTGCAGAAGTGATCTTAAGCAAGATGTCTCCTACTCCCACTGCTCTCTGGGTGCTGAGTGTCTTCTGTTCACTTCCTGCTTGTCATTACGGTAAACTGTTAAAACTGTGATCATGGCTTATATTTGGTTTAGATGCTGAGATAGAAGTTGTGTGGAAGCATAAAAAAGTGCTTTGGCAAATATGCTTTGGGTGATTTATAATCTAAGCAGCTCTAAATGCTACATATACATGTATGAAACACATTTCAAACTGTCAGGTTTAAATAAAATTGCTGTAATTTATATGCATTAAAAAACGTTGCAGAGGTTAAATCTGCTTCATATTGAGCCACCTGAAAACCTTTCGAAGAAGAATTCGGATCAGGAAGCCTTTTTTTTCTTAGTTATTCCTAATAATAATTTATTGTTTATTATAAAGTATATATGTGCATTTTTTAAATTGCCTATACTCTACTCAGATATGTTAATGTTGACATTAAATAAAGTTTTAAGTAACTTTTTTCCTTCCTGCACAGAGGATAGCAGAGCTGTGTCAGGAGCGAGAAGCCCATGGTGATTCAACCACGGTACCACTAGGGGGCCACGTTGACGATCTGCCGCAGAGCCTGGCCCTCCAGCTGGCTGATAAAAAGGCCAAACTCCGCCGCCTCAAACAACAACTGTGAGTGTGTGTGTGGAAGTGTGTATGTGCAGGAAAATCCCTGGAGAATCTTTAGTAAAGTTGCCATAAAGGTCAACATTAATAATGTGCAAATTTTGTCACTCCTCTACATGCACAAAAATTAGTTGTTACTCAGCAACGAGCAGGGTACTCAGTGTAGCAATCTAATTTCCACCATTTATTCAGATTTAGCCAAAGGTCAAAGTTCGGCTAAAAGTCAGAAGCACTGTATTATTTTTTTGTAGATTTTTGTACCAGTTCTAAGCGATAAGAGTTGAGTGGAGATTTGTGCATTTTGTGTGTTTTAGGGAGGACAAAGGGGATCAGATTCTGGATTACAAGCAGGAGGTTCAAATGATGGAGGATCAGCTGAAGAAACTTCAAAAAGAGGTACGGACAGAGGGCACACTATTCTTCCTGCACATTGGTCTAAAAGAAAATAGTAATTAGGAATTTCTTTTTTTTTACTAATATTGATCTCAGCCAGTTAACAGTGAAGTGTTTGTTGGAGATGATTCTGAGTCTTATAGGTCATTAAAGATTAAAGGCCCCGGGCTACTTTGGGGCCATAAGCAAGATTACTTAAAGCTAAAATAATGACAATTTTACTAGTTTGAGATTGCATGGCATCAGTCATCATTTACTGGTACTGGATTAAACAAAAATTTTGTATATTATCACAAGAATATGAGTCTTTGATTTTTTTCCTGCTGTGGCTCTACATAGCCTGCTCACAGAGGAACTACTGTCCTGCAATCATTCAGTTCCCAAACCCATAAAAGGATGTTGCAACATCAGATCTGTGTTGTCAGTGACACGACACTGAAGTCAGCATCTGATTCATGCCATCAATGTCTGCTGTTTACTCTATATTAACACCACTTTGGGTCAAACAAGGTAATATGATGAGCTGAAATGTGGTCTGCATAGTCTGCAAGATCCACTTCTGTCTCTAAGCTGAGCTTAACTGCTTCATAGAATACAACCAGTAGTCTCATGAAATTAAATAATATAAAAATTTAAGTCAGAAAAACTTAAGTAAAAAAGTTAAAAGGCTCAATTTAAAAGTTATAAAGCAAAGTGAAAAATGTGGGTTCCTGTATCAGCATTAATGTTCTGATGGTTATATTCTAACAAAAATTAGTTTCTTTCTTTCTGTAAGTGGTTTTCATTAATTTCTTATAAAAAAAAAAACACTCATAGGATTTTTCTTCTTACCATATTACAGCAATTAATTATTTCTTGTAATTACACTGACCTTGATTTCTACCATTTAAACACATTTTTTTAAATCTTACGAACGTAATAAGGTCTTGCTTTGTCTTCCAATAAAACTCTTGACCTTTTGAAATTCAAAATATTTCACTGAATGCCCAATAAAGAGTTAAATAAGTTAAATTATTCTTTCATCTAATATATGAATATATGGTAACTTTAATGGGAGAACTCGCCTGCTAAGGCATGTTAGATAAACTGTGGCTTAGGAACAAGTCTGAAATGCTAGTATTCACCCTCAGATAATCTCCAAAAGATCTGTAAGAAACTGGAGAGAGAACCTAAAAGCAAATTTATTTAAACTTTTTTTTCTTTTACTTCCTCTGAATCAGCTGAGGTCTTTAAAGTAATGAGAAACAACAGGGACACACAGGGCTGTGGTTATTCATATTTCTATTTAATTAAAGAGAAATCCTTGTTTGATAAACAATGTAGATGTTTGTCTCTACCTTTTTGATTATGATTGTGTGTCTTACAAACCCATTTAAGCTGGGCACAAAAGAAATCAATCTCTATTTATAAAAAGTTTTTTCCAATACCAATCATGAGCAATATTATCTATCAGGGCTGCACATTAGGGCATGCCCCCTCTAGCAGGTGGCACTAAAGACAGCTGCCTATGACTCGTTTGTTATGCATGCTCGAAAAGATCCTATTTGCTGGTTTGTTTATTATTTATTTTAACAAACAACAGTACACTGAGAATGCAACTGCAGCCTATTGATTAGGTGAAGATTACCAATAAAATATTTTAACAAATTACAGTTTTTTGAAAAAGGGAACTGAAGGAAAGAACTACCAAATCTTCCTTCTGCTTATTTGGGTCAGTGACTTTACAAGAGATTAAGCTGATCGGAGGACATTACTAAACACTCTGCAGATAAGAAACTTTTTACAGATAAGGAAGCATTTAGATTTCCTTCCAGTCATTCATGATCTACTTTATAAACCTCTTCCATTCTCATTAAGGAGGACTGAATGCTGCAAGACAGTGACTCTATGCAGATTGCTGGGTATACTTAGATGGAGAACTTTTTAATCAGGGAAGAGGTGATTAACTGAACTTGACTGCATTGTTTGATGACTATGATCTAACTGGAATGGATAGATTCAGAATATGTCTAGATGAATGGAAGGAACTGAGCTTGTAACACTTTTAGGTACCCTGGGATGAAACATGTTATTGAGCTGGCACCACATAAATAAACAGACTTAAACTGTTTTTTTTACTCTGGAAATTCACAAAGGCATCCAAAACATGGCTTACAAAGAAATAAATTGATATGACATTTAAAAAAATGTGAACACATAAAAAACTTTTTTCTTTGCTGCTGTGCATTGAATTATCTAAACTGTATCTGTGGCTTATTTGGCTTAAACAACGGATGCATTCTACTGCATTTTTGATTAGATCTGAGGTTTTTGTTTTCAGCATAGAGAGAGAAAATGACAGCAGCTTTAAGTTCTGGCAATAAATCCTTTAATGGCTTCAAAAGTTCAGTTTAGGCAGCTGTTTTGCCTCTCATCCAAGAGGCTTCTTCAGTTCTAACTAGTGGTGGGGAGCACTGAGATTAATACACTGTTGGTCTAACACAGAATTAGGGGGAACTAAAGGTGGCTCTGATCCCTCCCACTGAATTGGCCATGGAGGTCACCTGGGGGGGTGTTAATGGTTGTTAGGGGGTTCTGATGGGTCGTTAACTACCTCGTTAGAGTGGTTTCGGTCACATGCCTCATTAAAGTGTGAGTCAGGTGAGGGCAGGTGAGAGGTTAATCTTCTAGATATTGTACCTAAAATTTTTTTACGGAATTCCTAAAATTGCTTTGTAAGTAGGTGAAAGGTGATGTCTAAGAATACCTCATGTGTTGAGAGATGGCTTTTCCATTTTAACAAAGATGGCCGCCTTAACCCTTGCTCAAACCCGCTTCGTTAATTTGCAAGAATAAGGGCGTTGTTGTCCTCAAAGGAGTGTCCTTTAGCCTTCAGGTGAACAGCTGAGTCCTGTCCTGAGGAGTTGGCTCTCCTGTGTTGAGCCATGCACCTGTGTAGTGGTTGCTTGGTCTCTCCAATGTCTCTCCAAAGGTCTGTGCACTCTTTACTACACTGAATGGCATAAACCACGCTGTCGGCCTTGTTTCTGGGTGTCTTGTCTTTAGGGTGAAACAGTTTTTGTTTCAGGGTGTTGCTGGGTTTGAAGTGCACTGGAATCCAGTGCTGGTTGAAAATCCTCCTGAGTTTTTCAGAGACTCCAGCAACATAGGGAATGACAATATTCCTTCTTCTGTCTCTTCCGTCTTAGCAGACCTCTGTGGGATAACCACAGTTCTTCAGTGATATCTTGAAATGGCCCTTTTCTCTCATCTTCCCTCTATTGGTGGTGGGAATGGTTTCTGCTCATGTCTGGAGGGTTCTGATGCTGCCTAGTTTGTTTTCCAGTGGGTGGTGTGAGTCAAAACGGAGGTACTGGTCGATGTGTGTGGGTTTCCTGTAGACTTCTATGTTGAGTTGTCTGTTTTCCATGAAGTGAACTGTGCAGTTCAGGAGGACAAGGCTGTCATCTTTCACATCTTTCCGGATGAATTTGATGTTTCTGTCCTTTGCGTTGATGTGGTCTGTGAACATGTTGATATCCTTGGTCTTTATTTTGACCCATGTGTCATCCACGTATCTAAATCAGTGAATGTGAATGGGTCTAGTTTCGATGTATGAGAGTGCATGTGAGTCTAGAGCTCTGCTTTCAGCTTTTCCGTATATAAGTTTTCCACTATGGGAGACATATAAACCTACAGTATATTAATTTCAGTGATCCCCTCCACCAGTTAGAACTGAAGAAGACATTTGGATGTGAGGAGAAATGCAGAAAACTTTACATCAAGTCGTCTAAATTGAACTTATCAAGTTTTAACATGACCTGAATGACTGAGAATCTTCACAGATATGTTAATCTAGATGTTATATTTGATCTTGCTTTAGGGAAGGATTTTTGTCTGATTTCCTTTTACAATATAGTCTCTCACCTCGAATAAATGGCAAATGGCTTATTTATTATATTGCGATTTATGAAGAGTCCCCAAAAAACTTCACAATACATTTACCCATTCACACGCTATAGGTGGCCTGCTACATTATAGCCACAACTGCCCAGGGGCGGACTGACAAAAGTAAAGCTGTCACACATCAGTGTGACCCAGTGCTAGAGACACCAAAGATAGACAATTATGTCGATAATGCTTTTGCACGTAATTAATGCTTAATTCGAAAGTTGCGAACATACCTTTAGATTAGGATCTGCTGGGGAAGGATAATTCGGAAATTGTTTTCCCAGTCAAAGGCATATTTCCCTTATCTTGCATCAAACTGCTTCACTTCCTACTACTACTTCACCTCCATTCAGAATCAATCCACTGTCCTGTTTGTGTGATACTGTATCTCATGTTCCTCCAGAACCGTTCTCTGCAGAGCGAGGTGAGGGGCATGCGTGCTCTCCGGGACGAGCTCGACTGTGCCCGGGAACGGGCTACACGGACCGAGCAGATTCAGGCTGAGCTTCAGAGCTGCAAACACAAACTGCGCAGCCTGGAGCTGACTCGCACTCAGCTGAAGGTACGCACATCAACTGCCAGCAGACGGTTCACAAAACACACCAGGACAAGCTGCTCAGTCCCAACCAAATCACAGATACAAAAACATCCAACGAAACACAAAATGAGATCTTTTATTCAAACATTTACCCATTAATGTTTTTTTTAACAAGAGAAGTTAAATATATAGTATAATTAGAGAAACTCACATGCAAAAGATCTTAAATTAAATCTGTTGGTAACGCTTGTATAATGGGTGAAACTAATATTTGATAAAAAGAAGTGTCATTTAATCTTATTATTATAATAGTGTCTCTTATTACTATTCCCTCTCACCGCTCTCAGCGTTTCATTCAAAAGAAAGCATGGACCATGAAATTCAAAGCCGTAGAGCGAGGTTATACTGTGTGGTGTCATCTGGATTTACAGCTCAGAGCTGCTTCGTTGACGAGGAGGAGCAGGAGTTCGCCTCTAGTAGCTGGAACTTTTACAGCCGAATGAAATTTATTCTGAACAAGCTGAAATTTTCTGAGGCAGAAAATGTCTTCACATCCTTGTAAAACATCTCCCCTTGTCCTCACTGTCACCTTCTCTCATGTTTTTGATCCATTCTTCCTGTTGGTTCTGTCCTTGTGTTTGTTTTATCCACCTTGTATTGAAAAAAATGACAAAAATCCTCTTAAAGAAGTGTCGAAGCAAAATCTAAAATCATTATAACTGTAAAGTGCCTTAAGAGGACTTGTGTTGTGAATTGGCGCTATATAAATAAACTAAATTTAATTGAATTATGGAGCTTTTAAACAATAAAACCTAACCTATCTCACTAAATATGTTATTTAATATTCTTCTGTACTGTTTTCATAAGGGGGTCATTCGTCTTATATTATCTCCAAAAGAGGGTTGGCAAGGGGAGAAACCACTCTAGTTAAAAGGGGCTGAAATTATTTAGAACCACAACACTAGTTCAGTTTTTTTCTGTGTTTGCAAATATTTTTGACTGACTCATCCCTGCCATCCCTGCAGAATTAACCTAACAGACATCTAACAGTTTTCTAATTAAAGATGCAATAATAACATCAACAAATCTCACGCTATGCTGTTTACTCACATCAGGTCGATTCATGCTTGAAACTAAAAACTGCGCTGATTAACTACTTTTTTAGTTGTTTAATTTGTGTTTAATTATATGAACACTTTGCTCACAGACAGGGTTAGGTAGAGAACCCAAATATTGTCCTTAAATCAGGGCAGCACTACTACAGCATATTTTTTATGATGTAAAAGAAAAAAAGACAGCCAAGAAATTATTATAAAGTGACTCTGGATATATTTGGAAAAAAAAAAATTACTAAAGTACCGGGCCAGCGATCTAAGCATCTGGTATAATATAAAAAAAATATATTTATAAGTGGCAGACAAAAATATGAAATGATGTTTCTAATCTGATATTTATGACTACAATAAACCAAATCAGTACAATAAATACTAATATTACAGCTAACAAACTCAGGCAGAAGTTATAACGGAATGTGTCATCCAATATGTATTAAACTATTTACTTACAGCAGGGCATATATGTGTGTTTGAATAGGGCAGTTATAATAGCTACAGTTTATTGCATATAACCATGACCTCCAAATGTCCCAGAATGCACAGCAGATAGAAAACAAGATTAAATCAACAAAGCGTGTTTGAAAACAGGAGTAATCATTTCAACATAAGCTGTAAATCATTGGTGTATTTATTTTGTTAAAGGTATTTTTTTATTGAGGTTATTCATGATGAGTAGAGTAGCCAGAAATACTCAAGAGTTGTAAGACTTCATTATTTTATTACTAAAACAGAAGTAAAAAGAATGGTGGAGTAGCAGTACTCCTAAACTTAGATTTTTACAAAAAGTTACTCAAGTAAATGTAAGTAGCTATCACTCACCTCTGCTCACAGAGCATTGATGGCTAATTCCCAGACGGTCCATTGATTCCTTTATATCGAAAAGGGAGCTCCGCTGCATCATAAATGACTTACCCTTTCATGATGCAGCACAATATGCTTTATCCAAGTACACATCCACTATTCAGGGCACGCCACACACCCCAATTGACAGGTCTTGATGTTCCAAAAAGTCCTCTTCTCTTCTTCACACTGAGGCATTAATAAGACGTTTATTTTTATGAATTCAGGAGCACACATGGCAAGATTAAAAACTGCATTAAAAGCATAAGTGAGGTAAATTTGGCACGATAATGAAAGTTTTCCAATTTCAGGTAACATTTGCTCTCCTTTGAAATTAGTGTAAAAAATATTCCTTCTAGAGGTATTTTATTCAATTTAGTGTCAGACTGGTGAGTATTCTCCATGCTGTAGGATTTAATTTTCTCTGCATATCTACAGAGTTTAGCTTTTTTTTTTTAATAAAAGCAGAATACAGAAGTAAGTGCTCTGTCTGTTTTTATATTGTCTAATGTGGGGTATGACTTTTATTCAGACAAGCTAATGCACTCCAGATGTGGTTAGATTTTGTGCAAAATTTCAAACTCCCATGCATTGAATTCAAAATAACAAGACGTCATACACAGGAGGAATTTTTCCTCCAGTTTTCTCACAAATCTGCAAACCTCTCAGCCTAGTAAACTAGCCCCCCCTTCCAGCAGCCAAAATCATTTTTGTCTGAGAGCTGCTCTAGCCTCGATCAATGCCCCAGGCCCTAGAACTGGCGGGCCAATCACAACGCAGAGATGTGTTTTGAATTTCTGGATGCAAAGTGGGCAGGGTTTTGAGGGCCTGACGACAAAGCTGCAGAACGCTGGAGAAAGCACAACAAGGAAGATGGCAACAACTATTGAACAGTTCTCGTTTTACTCAGCTTTGGAATCAGTTTTGGAAAGATCAGAGTTTGGGTTTTCGTTGAAGCATGAGCAGGAAGAGGCTCTAAGCTCATTCATTTTTAAGAAGGACGTATTCGCCGTTTTACAGACAGGCTGTTTGTTTACACTCCCCCACCAGCTTTCTGTCGTGCTTACTACATTACAGTCAGTTGTGCTTATTGGTCAGAGCGTTGGCCAATTGGAGCAGACATGGTTTGAAAGACAACGGGTTGTTCTCATCAACAATCTTCCCATGTCTCATTCATCGGGGCCAGACTAAATTACACATTTAATCTCACATTTAGTCTGGTTTATCAGGCTACAAACCTCTGGTTTTCATTTCACTGTGATGCATTTCCTTTAAAAATACCTCAGTAGAAGGGAATTCTTCTAAAATGTAGAAACTTTGGATCCCTCACTGAACCTGGTTTTTGATTATTTGCAAAATCACATTTTCCCCCCCAACTTAAATTTGCTTCTGACTGGAAATGAATCTAGTATCAATTATAAGAAAAATATTAAAATAGCAAGTGGAAAAGTACATATACCATTATCAATAATTAAAACATTTTAACAGCACTTAAAAACCAAGTTTAACATATCACTACAGATTTGTATAATTACTTTTAACAACGACTTTCCCACCTCCCCTCTCCATAATGACCCTATCTGTAGAGGGAGATTTTAAAAGCTGTCTTGTCAGCAGATTTTTCCACCTGAGCTAAGGATCCCTGCAGCTCCCCTGGACTCTTTAAAGAAGGCGGACTTTAGCTGAATCATGTTTTTGTTTCGTTTGCAGTTTTCCAAACTCTTGTCACTTCTGGATGATAGGCAGTTCCCTTTGAGATGTTTATATTGACCTTGGAATACACACAGGTTGTTTTTGCTTGTGAGGTGTATTTGTGTATCTCCTATTAATTATGAATTTTTAAAGAAAAAACTGTAATCACCCCAATTTAAACTAAAATTTTGTTGTTTTATCTAATAAAATCCCTAAAATTTGCATCAAATTTTTTGTTATAATTATAATATCAGAAATTGCAAAAAAATTCAAGCGTTAAGGCTGCTTTTTGCAAGTTGTTGTTGCTAATTCCGCAAAGATATAGTTTTTGCTTTTTCTTCTCATGTAAAACTAATGTAATTTATATGTGGCACCACCTACAGGAGCAGCAACATCTATGTGCAGCATTACAGGAAACTAAAAGTCTTCTGGAAGAGCAGCTGGCAGATGCTCGGGCACGTTGCTCCTCCATACGGGAGCTGGAGAAGGACAATCTTCTGCTGCGTCAGAGAATCATGGACATTGAAGCAGTGGGTTAAGCTATGAGAATAATGTTTCCCAAACAGATGAGCTAGTATTAAAGTTTGAGTTAAATTTCTGTGATACCTAACACTGGTACTTTTTAGACATTTTGTGCAATATTTGCATTTGTTTTTGAAATGTCTGTATGGTGTGTTGATGTGCAGGAGCGGGACACTGAAAGGCAGCGAGTTGACGATTTGTTGGAGATGAACATGAGCCTGGAGGCAGACCTGAGGCAAATGAGCACGTCAAAGAGAGGCGTTTCCTCCCCAAATGTCATCCTCCATCAGCATTTTCTGGAATCAGGACCTGACTCTGATGAGGATATCTGCAACCTGATAGGTCTGCACACCTGCCCTATTGTTCCTAAACATATACAACCGTTTTATTAATTAACTGATAACTGGAAATTAATTGGGATAAGGGTGGTTCAGTTAGTGTGCATCATTAGAAAATCAAAATCCTTTTATTCATTTGACACCTTTCATTATGTGTCATAATTCTGTCCTCCTTCTGTTTTAGATCAGAAGCCGCTGAGCGTGGAAGTAGGTGAGGCCTCAACGTTGAGGCTGCTTGGAGCAGAACAGGAGAACGCTGAGCTAAGGAGGAGGCTGGAGGAGCTACAGGCCCAGCAGGAGGTCAGGGTTCAGAAACTAAATAATCTGTTATTACTCCACTATCAAAAACTCAAGCTTGACATTGGAATACTATTAAACCTGCCAAATATCAGCTGTCTCATATGTGGGGCCGGTCTAACGGAGAGTAAGTTGTCTGTGCTTCTTTGCTGCAGGTTGAGTCCCCAGATACAAAAGATGAGCTGGCGTGTCTTGAGGTGGAACATCGAAAAACACTCAGTGAGGTGAGCAGAGAGCAGAGGAAAGGTTCATAATCATTTTGCTGCTCAGTTTAGACCGCACTGATTGTACTCCATGTTGTTACCAAAATCAAAGTACATAGAAGATGCCAAATACTGCAGCACATTAGAGCAAATTTTTCAGGACTAAACAAGAGAACTTAACTGCTCCCGTGTTTGTTTGTTTGTTGCTTTCTTTCTTTGTTTGTTTGTTTCTTTCTTTCAAATGCAGAACATTTTAATTGTAAAATCATACTCTTTCATACAGGTCATTTTAAATATTCTCTCTATTAACTGTTTTTGTCATCATTTCACCCTTATTCAAAGCCTAAGCAAGATAACCAGGTTATGTATGAATGTTTAAATGAGAAATCCAACACATGGTATGTTCTTACTGCTGTGTAATATTTTATTTAAAAAAATAAATAAATAAAAGAATCAGTGTCATTGTGAAAATGTAGTTCCTCTTATATATTTCAGATCATAAAACACATCTTTATACTTATTATAACCTAAAAAAAAACATAAAAAGCAGGTTACAAGTGATGATTTCATTTCTAAAGGTAAAACATCTATCTGCACCAACCTGGAGGTGTGTGAATGGATAGTTGCCCTCTAAACTTAGTGAGGATTTGTTCCACCAAACAGTGGTAACAACGGCAATGACCCTTGGAGACATTTTTGACGTCTTGTTAGAGCAGAATTTCTGTAATTCAGCCTCATTGAATGGTTTCTCCAACATCGTCTAATTTAATTTCAAACTTTTCAAACTGAATGACCAAAGTAGGCTAAAGTTTAGAATCACAAACTGATGAAATGTTATTTTCTTCTGGACTTTCTTGCACTAGTTCCCCCAGTTCCAGCGAGTCACCCAGGTCCTTAAACAACAGAACATTTCATGGCATCACACCACCATCATGTTTATATGTTCATTTAGTGTTATTTGACTGAAATGCTTTAGTCATTAGACAGCTGTTATTATAGGATGCACACTTTCTCTGACTGGGATAGAGACCCAGCACTTTAGATATTTTCTGAACCTTTTCCAAACTGAAAGACCTCATTATCTTTGTTTATCACTTGTTTAGATCAGTGGTCTTCATGTGAGCAGATTGTGTTTTCGTGATTTCCTGATTCTACAGGTCTGTAACTGGTGTGATTATTCAGGGGTAACTCTTGCTGAAACATCGGGTTAGGCTGGTTTGGTTTTTCTCTCAATGAATGAAATTGTCATTGAAAGTCTGCAATTTGCATTTATTTATGCTATTTATATATGATGATTAAATTATGTTTGAGGATCTAAAACATTTAGTTCTGACAAAAAAACAACAGCAAAGAAGATAAAACTGCAGGAAGGAAAAAACATTTTAACAGCGAACAGTCATTATACATACACTCACCAGCCACTTTATTAGGTACCCCATGCTAGTAATGGGTTTGACCCCCTTTTGCCTTCAGAACTGCCTCAATTCTTCGTGGCATAGATTCAACAAGGTGCTGGGAGGATCCCTCAGGGAGTTTGGTCCATATTGACATGATGGCATCACACAGTTG